ACCTCGAAACTAAAGGGGGTTTTTGTTTTCGTTTTGATTTTTCAATTCGAAGATTACCTACTGCTTTGATGTGATGGAAGTTAAGTATAGAAGTAGAATTGTTTCTGTAGACTGAGACTGATGAGAGAACGGAGGGGTGTGGAGAGCACGAAAAGACAGGGTTCAAACACAACCTTTAAGCATCAAGTTAGGACATGGGTTCTACTTTTATCTAGGGATTGTTTGTCAATTGCTGAATGATTAGATGCAGAATGATTAAGCAATCATAATGATTAAGAAGCTCTAATGATATAGTGCAAAATGAAATAAAATTGTTTGATAACTGTGTATAATGAAATTAGGGCTCTTAATGATTAAGGGAGTTCCATGATATAAAATTATTCAAAGGGTTTTAAAATCATTAAAATACATTTTTTTTTTTGTCAAACAAGATTAAACTCTTAACAATTTAGGTATAACTCGTAATGTAATCATTAAGAGATAAACAAACAATCCTTAAAATCATGACCAAAATAATAATAATAAAAAGTCTGAATATAATTACGTCTTATTCAATAAAACAGAAGAGGTCACTAAAAGTTTTTTACAAAAGCAAATGACACCTTATACTTAGTCGTAGGTCCTACTAGATGGTGTTGTTTTGTTGAACTGGTTCACTTTGTATCAGACATCTTTCATTTTACTGTTGTCTTGTTACAAGGATCTTTAACAAATTTTTTATAATTTTTTAATAATAAATAACGAAAAATTAAAATTAATAAAAAAATTATATTAAATACCAACATATTCTATATTTTAATTTTTTAACGTCAATCACACTATTTAATTTTATCGTTCAATATATTTTTAAAAAAAGTATATAAAATAATTCTAATCGATTGGAATTAACAAACACAAGGAAAATTAATTAAAATTACAATTTTTTTGTTTGTAGTATCATCTTTTAGTCATTTATTTACAGGAGGTACCAAAATATCACTGGTTCACAAGTGATAGATCCACAATTTCTAGAGGTGTCAAAATGTAAAGAAAAAAAGTTTTTGAACAAAGTCTACAATTATAAGAACTAAATATGTAAATTAGGTATATTTCTACGATGTGTTTTTCAAAATTTAAATATTTGGTCCCCACAGTTGTAAATGTGGTTAAGTAACTTTATTATTTTACGCTCTTACCCATCCTCAAATTGCGGACCTGCTACTTGAGGATCAAATGACATTTTAGTAATTTATGAAGAGAAAATGGCTAAGACGAGTCAAATTGACTATTTTAATTAATTTTCCTAAAAATATTTATTTCTCTCTCTTTCTATTATATTTTAGAGAATAATTTAAATTAAAGTTTTTTTTTATTTTCTTTATTTTAAAAAACAATATATGAAATTCATTTGAAAAAAAAGCATTTTTTCTATTTCAAAAAATCAGATGTTTAGTCCCTACTCCCTAACCTAACCATACTGGCTTCTTTGGCTTGTCAACGGGATCAAATTCCCGACTAGTGTGCTATCGTATACTGTGAGCTCCTAACGATTTGCTCCATCCATTTATATACTGTGAGCTCCTAATGTCATCCAAACTAACGACGGATTTAGAAATGTAGGTGACTGAGGGCAAAAGTATGAAAAGAATTCAAAACCGAATAACTCACGTGAACCAAAACGGTTTTGGGTATTCGGGTCTGCAGTTTTAACGGTTCGCTTAATCGAATAAGGTAAACTTCAGTTTCAATTATTTCTTTACCATACCGGTTAATCAAATAGCAAATTATACTAGCATTAAATTTATATGATTTCCTTCTAGATGAATTTATTTGAACATATATGAAATTAACATTATATGAAATGATTTATCATTAAGTTAAAAGAACAAGAAATTGAAATATATTTAACAAAACCATCAACCAACGTTATCATAATAGCATGATTGCAAGAACTAACGGTAATAAAACAATCAATGTGCAGAGGGACAACTATCAAGCGAGTGGAAGTTTTTCTACTTTTATCAAAACAGATTGAACCACTGAGGTAAACCATCGTAAATGACCGGAGGAATTTATAACTCTTTAAACTATTATATCCAACAAAAATGAAATTTTACTGTCATAAAACTACTATTATAATCATATATGACACATTAATTATTTATAACATTAAAAATAATAACGGGTGCGATCATATTTTACTATGATCGGACACAGTGTAATGGCGATGAAAAAATAATGAGATGTTTTGATTTATAACGCGTGTTGCAAAAAAATGGTGGCAAACTTAACTTTTTACAATGCATCGATTGCAATAAACGGGTTAAAAATGAAATATTTTGGGTGATTATTTTATGCCGATATAATCACCAAAAAGAATAATGAAATTAAATACGATGATTAATTAACATGAAATTCAATGTCGTGATACTGACATGGATTGGAACGGAATTGATATCCATAAGTTTGGGAAGTTGACTTTGAAAAGTCAAATCGAGGGTTATGAAGGTTTGGAGTTTTAGAGAGATGAATATCTGATTGGTTGATAATACTCATTAACTAATTGTATTAATAGGATATTCTTAATAAATCAATGTTAAACGAATTGCGCAAATATCATCCCTGTAAGATATTAAAAAACAATATATGATAAGTACTTGGTGGTCGAGTCGGTCATAATCAAGACCATGTTTTAGAAGATCCAAGTTCAAAATAGGTGATCTGGTCATCTGTTTTTTTACCTCTATTACAGTTATGGAATTATTTTGAAGAATCATTTAAAGCAATTTTGTGTAGACAAGTCAAATGATGGACGCGGATAAACCCTAATAAAAACATAGGGTTATGTTAATGGTTTCATAGTAATCATACGCTTGTTTAAATGCATGAGCAAACTGTATTTAGTTTCTCGATAGTTTTGGGCATAAAGTAATTTTGGGTTGAGTTAATTTGTACATAAAAAGAGCTTATACCTTAAACATAAAAGGTATAACGTGTCGTTATATACCAAGTGTCAGGGTTGGAAGTGGGCACCAACACACAAGAATATTGACAATCATATTGGTTATATATGCAAGTATTATGTGCTTTTTAAGACTGAGATATATGTAAATTTGTGTACTGTATCCATATTTATAAGTAGTTATGGATCTAGAAGTGTTACTGTATATACATGCATGAACAAATGTATTCTCAAAATAACATTGTTTTGAGTCATTATACGTTTTAACAACATTTTGATACCAAGTCAAAAGTTAAATCCTGTTATAACATGCAAGTGAGTCACCATTCCCAGTATCTAACTAATTCTCTTATCCCTTTTCAGGGTTGTTCGTGGGCTTCAAATGAAACTTTTTAATGGTCAAGATCTTAACGAAAAAAATATGTAAATATAAAAAAAATATCAGATAAATTTAAAAAAAACCTAAAAAAGTTGAGAAGGATATTTTGAAACTTTTGTATAATTAGCCCTTTTAATTTTCTTCTTGATCAATGACAACCCATCAATAATCCATTGCAAAAGCATCACTAATATAATCATTTTCAAAAAAATTATCCACATTCCTTTTAAATAAAAATTAGATTATCCATTTAAAAAAATTAAAATATAATCAATATTTTATTTAAATAAATTATGCTATATAATTTAATATCCATAATGATATATATTTTTTAAGATTTATAAACGGATTCAAAATCCTGATTAATTTATATTAATTTATATAAAAGTTATAATGATTCACATGTCAATTTATATTATGATTCATATATCAACATATGAATGTTGAATTGATTCAGAATCTTGGTTATAAATTTGAAATTGATTCACGTACAAATTATGATTAAAATTTACATGTGAACCTATGTTAGAATTCACACATTTACATATGAACCGATGAAAAGTATCGATGTACATGTTCGCATAAGATATTTAAGAAAATGAGATTCAGTTCGATTTCTAAATTGTAAAATCACCAATGATTTCAAGGTGAGAAAAAATTGAACAAAAAATCGATGATTATCAATATCTAAAACATGTTATAGAAAAAAAATAGAAGATAAATTAGAATATTTTATTTTTATATAATTATCTTAATTAGTGAAAAAATTGGACTGAGAATGCTTCTCACATTCTTAAATGTTGGAGCTTCTTATTTGAACCACGTATTAATAGTTTACTAATACTAGAAGGGTACCCACATAATGTAACGAGATACATATTGATTTTAATATTTCTTTTTATTCTTTATTTCTGTCAATGTTATAACACGGTTTTATATGGTTTTGATAAATGATAATGTTTTTATGTTTGAATAAAATATAAATTTGAAGATCTCATAAAAACTTGAAAAAAATATCGATATTAGAATCAAATTAAGTGTTTAAAAATTCTCATTTTTTTGTAATTTCTTTAATTCAATTTTTTTATAATTTAATAATAAAGTAATTTATTTCTGGCTTAATAATATATATATTTTTTAAAAACAATAATTAAGTAGTTTGTTGAATGTTAATGATTATCTTAATTAAATTTTAGATTTTTTATATTTAAAATGAGATGTTTATTCTATATTTGATTATGTTTATCTATAGTTAGTTACACAAATTGAAATGAAGCTTTAATAAGTTATTCTTACGTATAATTTACTTGTAATTTTGAATTTTTAAGTACTATGGATCAACAAACAATACTTTATACATAAAAAAATAAATTTAAGAATTTTTTATAAAATGGTTTATAATATAGTATATATAATTCAATATTAACATATATTAAATTAAAATAATATTAGTAGATATTATATTATATTATAATAATATATAAATTATATTATTTTAATAAAGGTAATGAGAGGAAAATGATTTATTTGCTATTTATAAAAAGGGTAGCGAAATTGTAATAAAGAAAACCAAAAAATATGTGGATTTAGTATTTATTTGAATCAAATCTTTGAGTCGATCGTATAAACAATCGAAGTTGACACTTCTCCTACTCCTAGACACGGAATATGAAAAGCACAATGGACGCCGGAGAACCATCCTACACCGGCGACGACATCCAAAATACGGAAGGCGGCATCGTCTACGGCCTTGGATTCTACTTCCTCCTCCTCCTCTTAATATTCACCCTCTGCTACACTTCTTACATCTGCAAACGCAGCATGCTCTCTCGATCGCCACCACCGTCCACCACCATTGACGACTACCACTTTGTAAGACTCTCTCACGGTCTTGACGGCGATATCCTCGCCACTTTCCCCACGTTTCTTTACTCTGACTCTGAGATCGTCATGCTTCACAAGGGTACCGGCATTGATAATAATAATGAAAACAATTATGGCTCCGATTGCTGTATTTGCTTGGCGAATTATAGACCGGCGGACGTCCTCCGTTTGTTGCCGGAATGTGGTCATTTTTTTCATGCCAACTGTATAGATACCTGGTTGAAGGTTCATCCTACTTGTCCAGTGTGTCGGATCTCACTTGATTTGACAGATGAATGACGAATTGAATTAACTGTAAGTGAACCTTAGAATTAAATTCTGTAAATTGTTGTTATTTACACCCATTTTATTTCAATGAAGTCAATTTATATATTAAGAATGTAAAAATTAGAGGTTGATGTTGAGGTGTAAGTAAGAAATTCATAAAAAAATGAGGTTGTGAGCCGATGATTACACAAAAATTGAGGTCACCTCTTAGGGTGTTATTTCATTGGAAGCATCGCCATACATATATGTCTGCAGGATCAACACGTATAGTAGAGGTAGAGTTGATTTAAGTCAGCTTACATCAATTTTTATTCATAAATCGATATTTATTACGACAAGATACGAGTGATCCCATTCCTATGCCTTTGAGAAAATCGATATCGAAGTGTGTTATTTTTGGAACATGTACCAAATCATTTTTTATATTATTTTTGGTACTTTTTTGGTCATGGATCGCCCCTCGGGGTAGATCTAGATAGTCGTTTTGGCAATTTTGCTAAAAAATGGTTATTTCGTTAATATATCGGGAATATTTTGGTCATTGTCCCTTTTTAATTCGGGTTTGAGTTGAATCCAGTTGAAACGTTTTATTGATGTCAAATACTCGATTATGATTAATTTGAAGTCGATATATTTCCTGGATTCAAATGTATCTGGTCTATAAAGTCCAAGTGTTTGAAGAAACTTCTCAAAGAATTACGAGAACCGGTTACAGTTCTTTATGATGCAACCTATAGATTTGGTTTTACAAGAAGAAAAATAAATAGAATTTCATAATGCTGTGACGATTTCCCATGAATCAATTGCTCCTTCTAGTAATTGCTCCACTTCACCTACATCACCCAAAAATATAAATTAAATAAAACAAGCCAAATATATCCACTTAATCCCACTAAGAGATGGGGTCGAAGGTAGGATGTAAGCAGTGTTCAAGAAGTCTCAGCCATACCGCTGCGACACACAACTTTACAATTCTAATACACTATGCTCCAATGGTCGTTTTTTGAAAGGTCTTATTTTGATCTTTTTTTTTTACTTCATAATTTTTTACCCTTCGTGTTTTTTTAGCTTTGGATATAACATACTTCTATATGGTCATACATAATAGAGTAAATTATGTTTTTAGTCCATGTGATTTGTTGAAAAATTCTATTTTCGTTCTTATGTTTTTGAAATTACAATTTTCATCCCTATAGTTTATAATTAATTATCTTTTTTGTTCTTATGATTTAAAATTTATTGTTTTCTTCGTCCTTATGGTTTACAATTCACTTCTAATTTAGTCATTCATACTTAAAAGTAGTGTTTTGACCTTAGGAACTATAATAGAAATGAATTGTAAAACATATGGATGAAAACCGAAATCCTAAAACCATAAGAACTAGATCTGCAATTTTTAACAAACCATAGTGACAAAAAACTTAATTTACTCTGTATTATTATAATCATAATAAAATAATAATAATAATAATAAACATGCATCAAATATTTTTTACATAACACATCAATTAGTGGTATATTAAAAAAACCCCATATAAAAGAGAGCAAAGTATTAAAATAGCTAAGTTAGGTTGATTTCGAATTAAAAAAGAAAAATGACATGTCAATAAACCTTGGTGATATGTAATTTAATAACTTATTTAGTAGGTAAAATATATATAAGATAGAAAAATAAAATAAAATTTTCTTATGTTAAATGAAAAAAAAAAACATCTTATATTAAATAGAAACTAGGAAAAATTGTACCAAAATGGAATCAACTTTCACCTGATTCCTATTTTGGGGAACCAACTTTCACCTGATTCCTATTTTAGGGAACCAACTTTCACCTGATTCCTATTTTAGGGAACCAACTTTCAAAATCGTCATTTAGGGGTCTCTATCAAACTTTCTGTTTATTTAAATGTCTGGTTGATCTGTTGAACATGTAATTTAAAGGTCTCTATCAAACTTTTTGTTTATTTAAGAGTCTGGATGATCTGTTGAACATGTAACAGATAATTTAAGGATCTCTATCAAACTCTTGGTTTGATTTATCAAATTTGATTTAAACTTTAATATTGATAAGGATTAGTTAGATATAAAAATCTTGAGTGTGATATTTAATATTTATTTTTTATTGCATCAATTAATTTTTTTCTATTAAATTAAATTTTTATTGCATTAGAAAAAAAAACAATTTTTATCGTGATAATTTGGATATTTTTTAAAAAAATCTTTAATTTAATATCTGAATTTTAAAAAAACGAGATTTGAAATGAAAAATAGATTTATTGCATTATTTTACAAAAAAAAAGATTTTAGTTATTTTTCTATAATTATTTTGCAAGTTGGTTCCCTAAAATTAGAATCAGGTGCAAGTTGATTCACTAAAATGATGATTTTGAAAGTTGGTTCCTCAAAATAGGAATCAGGTGAAAATCGGTTTCATTTTGGTGCAATTTTTCTTAGAAACTAAACCAAACTTTATTACATTTTAACGCATTTTACCCTTTAGCATTACATAAAGATGCATGTAATCTTACCCCATAATTAACACCATTTTTGGGTTTACTCTCAATTTAGTGGTAGGAAGTCTAAGGGTCGTTTACCAAACACTTATCCGGTAAGCTTTTACCGGTAAATTTAACACTATCATTTACTTACCGGATAAGATTTTAGTCCATCAAAACGGTATCGTATGCAACAATTTACCCGGTAGCGCTTACGGGGTAAGACTCTTAGTCATTGTCTCGCTCTTACCGGTAAGATTTTTTTATTCTTATCATATTCATCCGGTAAGGTAAAATGACTTGATGTTCACTTACCTGAATAAACATTTGGTAAACAGCCCCTAAATTACTTTGTTATTACTGCAAAAAAATATGTGGACCTTATATTGAAAAGAAAATTTGGCCGAAATAACTATTTCTCTCTCATAAGAGGTTCACTACTTTCTCACCTTAGTTTTCTATCTCTGTCATATTGGTTTTTCTTTTTTCTACATATTTCATAAATCTTTTATTTTTAATCATGGACTGATCAGTTATTTATATGATAAAAACTACACAATAAAATTATAATAATTAAATTATCACTTATTATAATTAAATGTTATGATAATAAAAATTGGTACAACTAAATACAATAACAAATTTTATTATGATTAAAAATCATAAATATAAAAATAATAATTAAAATATAAAATAAATAAAAATTATAATAAAAAATGAAAAAACTAATTTTATATTAGTTTAAATATTTATTTCATTATTAACGGTCCCATATATCAGGGAAGGAGAGGTCCTTGTAGATGAACGTTTCCTCCTTCCACGTAGGCAAGACCGCTTCCTCCCAACGACACTCAATTTGTTGGATTGGTCCATCGACCTCTCGCATTTTACGTGTTTTAAATTCTGTCTCTTAGTCATTTTTCTATCTAATTTATTTAAATGTAACTATCTATGTAAGTCTTATTTTTTTCACTTGTTGACCTAGCTAAAAAAGAAAAATCATATTCAACTCAGGTCTACAATTGTAATGGCACCACTTGCTAACCTAGGTTGAATTTGATTTTTTTTTTTTTGTATTTTAGCTAGGTCCGCAAGTGGGGGAGGTAGGACGTGCTTAGATAATGACATTTGAATAAACCAGGAATAAGAATAGTTAGGAGACCAATTTATATAAAAAGAATAGATACTTTGACCAATTTCTATATTAAAAAAATTTGATGTTGCTCTTTAAGCATTGCCGGGGAAAAAGGCAAAGCGAATTGGCGAATGATACAAAGGGTGAATTCGTTGATGGTGAACATATTGGTCTTTTGACGAGGAGACGACATGATGATGGACCTTAGATGCTTATTAACCAAGGGGAAAATGGCATGAGTAGTTATATCAGTCGACCAAATTAATCTTTTAAACATTTTATTTTTTAAAATTAAAAAAAAATCATCATTTCTACACATAATCTTTCCTCAACTTAGGGAGGGATATTGATAAGTTAAAAAAAATTGAACCACTTCACTTACGGAACATGACGATTTTTCAAAATTAGCCACCCAAATTTTGAACTATTCACTTACAAAAATATCAGGACCCACCTCGCACAAACTTATTTTTATCCCATTTGTAAGTTAATGAATGATTACTTGCGAAAGTGATGACTCTTTTGAAATCTTGGGACATAAATGGTAAGAGGTAAATTTGGTCGTCTAAAATGACTACTTATGGCATCTTCCCTTAACCAAGAGCGATATGATTTCATTCTCTTTCTAAATCATGTATATTTTAAAAGGTTTGTAAGTGTTAATTTGTCGGGATGAATGAAGATAAATTGTTGTTTGACTTTTGTTTGGAATAAATAGTTTGATTAATGATAAAATACCATTTAAACATTCTCCCTATGTAAGTGTTGGATGAAAATTAACCGTTTGATAAATGACAAAAAGAAATTGTATGAATTATATGAAACTAGAAGGGTACTCGTGCAATGCATCGAGATACATCTTGATTTCAGTATTTTGTTTTATTTGTTTTTTACGTCGATATAATGCGGTTTTATGTGGTTTTGAGTAAGTGATAATGTTTTTATTTTTGAATAAAATATAAATTTGAAATTATTATAAAATTTTGAAAAACAAATATACCGATATCAGTATCAAATTAACATTTTTAAAAGTTCTTGTGTTTTGGTGTAATTTCCTTAATTCAATTTTTTTAATATAATTAAATTTAGGTTTGGTAACAAAGAAATTTAATTTAGGTTTAATAGTATAATTTTTTATAAAGATAATATTTAAAAGTTTTTGTATTTTAGATTTTTTATATTTAAAATGAGATGTTTATCCAATATTTGATCATGTTTATCTACGGTTAGTTAGACGAATTCAAATATGGAGCTTTAATAAGTTGTACTTATGCATAATTTACTTGTAATCATAAATTTTAAGTAATATGCAATAATAAACAGTACTTCGTGAATAAGAAATGATTTTTAAGAGTTTTTGTCAAATGYTTTATAATATAGTATAG